AGTAAGAGGTGATGTAAATGGGTGACTTATGATCCGGGGAAGATACTGAGACAGGTACTGTAATTATTTAATGCCAAATTATTTCTTTCAAGATATCTGTGGTTTCAGTGAATAATTGAGGTGTTAAAGGCAAGTTTATGAAAGGAGATTGACTTTGAACTTTATTTAGAGTTAGTAAATTTTTGACAATCTCAAAATTTTTATTTTAGTTAATAACTAATGGAAGTTTACTTTTCTACTTTCCTCATCTCTTTAGATTACTTTGTTTATAAACTGTTGTGTGTTACTGATGAGGATTCAAATCTGTGATTTACTTCAATTCAAATATTCACTGTGGTTTCTGATAAAATTACAATTATGACAAAGATGCTTTGAAATTTCCAAATAGTCAAATGGAACTGTCATGCTTTTAAAACACCAAGAATACTGAACTAGGGGCCAGGGATTTAGCTCAGTGGTTCTGCCGCCTGCTTCACAAGCACAAGGACCCAAATTCGATCCCTGTTACCAAAAAAACAAAAAAAACCTAAACTTAAAGGATGCACTTCTAGACACAAGATTAAAAAACAGATGCTCACCGGCCTGGGGAACATCAAGTGGTACTTCTTTCTTGGGTGCATTTAGCCCCAGTGCCAATGGCTTCAGTCACACTTCCAACTTCATGAAATGCGCAAAGACTTTGTGGGTAATCACTCATGGCATTATTTATAAGAGCATGAAAGTAGGAAAAGGTCATAATGTCTAAGGGATAGTTAAACCTTAAGTTGCTTAGATTATTATAGCCATAAACTGGAATACTAGGCAGATGTAGAAAAAGCGAGCATGAAATTTTCAAATGGGAAAAATTGCTATGATTTGAAAAGAGAACAGGATATTAGATTATGGGCGGTATGATCAACTACAGTATATAAAACTGTGCATATGACAAATGTCAACAGTGACTACTTGGTATTAGAATTATAGGCAATTTTGAGTTTTATAATGTACCAGAATCATGTTTTTTTTCAAATGAGAAACTATGAGTCCTTTTAAAAAAATTTTTATTTTTATTAGTACCTATTTGCAGTGCATAATGAATGATTACATTCATCGTGGGAGTTGGTGTACCTGACATATCTTAATTTTTACTTCCCCTTCCCCTTCTCTCACTCCCCCCTTTTTACATAATAGCTGTATTTTACTTTGCCCTGGAGAGAGGTATGCTGAATAACTACTTGAAAGTTCCTTGTATAACAGACAAAATAAGCTTGCGTTGGATCTTCATGCTTTTCTTCCATAATTACTTCTGTAGGGGTAGAGTAGGGTGAGGTGACCGCAGAACTCAGGACAGCTCTGTTTGGGAGAAAAAGCATCCATCTCCAGGATGAGAAATGCAGGCCAGCCTGATTTTCTTGGAAGCAAAGTCTAAGAGTCTCACAGACACCTGGTTCTTCTTTCCAATTGGTTAGATTTAGCTGGGTTTTGGGGCCTTCTTTAGTGACTGTTCAGACTGGTCATGCTACATGTTGCTGGTCTTTTGAAGAGATGAACGATGAAGGAGAGAATTGGAATGCAGTTATTTAAAAACAACTTCCAGGGATGGGGATTTAGCTCAGTGGTTCTGCCGCTTGCCTCGCAAGCATAAGGACCCGAGTTCGATCCCAGGTACCAAAAATAAATAAATAAAATTTAAAATTAAATAAATAAAAGCAATTCCCAAAACTGCTTGTGATTTCTTTTTTTTTTTTTTTTTAAGACAGGGTTTTGCTAAGTTACTAAGTTGCTCAGCTGGGCTTGAACTTAGAATCCTCCTGCCTTATCCTCCCAGAGTGGTGGAATTACAAGTGTGTGCCACCAAGCTCAGCTTCTGTGACCTTTTTAAAAATTTTACATATGGGCTGGGGTTGTAGCTTAGTGGTAGAGCACTTGCCTAGCATGCATGATGTCCTGGGTTCAATACCTAGTACTAGGGGGAAAAAGATCTATATACAATTTTTTTTTGGGTACCCAGGATTGAACTCGGGTCCTTGCGCTTTTGAGGCAGGTGGCGGAACCACTGAGCTAAATCCCCAACCCATATATACAATTTTAATTTGGAAAAAAATACCTAATAGTTTATGCTTTTCTTCCATGATTTATAAGTATTATGCACAAAAAATTGTGCCATTGTTTACAACTATCTTACTGTCTTTGATAAGTAATTAATCACCTTCTGAATTATATTTTTTGTTTGGTTGGTTTTTGTCTATTTTTTTGAGACAGGGTCTTGCTGTGTAGCCCAGGCTGGCCTTAAACTTGCAGCGATCCTCCTCCCTCAGGCTCCCAAGTGCTGGGATTACAGGCAAGCCACCATGCCTAGCTGAAATATATTTTTATTTCATCCCCTTGGTTTTTTATTCTTTTATTTGTTAAAATGAATTTTAGTGGGATGGAAGTATAATTCAGTGATAGAGCACTTGCCTAACATACTGGAGCCTTGAGTTTGATCCCTGGCATCAAAATACATACATACCTACTTAAAAATCAGAATTTATATTATATAGACTATTACTCAAAAAGTACAGTTTTAATCTTATAAGTTTCAAGGGACTTGTATAATAATATCTTCAGTCTATAGAAAAAATCTTTAAAAAGGTCAGCTGACTTATACAGTATACTAATTAATGTTTAGTTAAACTCAAATACAGTTTTCAACAAAGTACCCCAATTTCCTGTAATTATTAAAACATTTTTATACAGACAAAATACAGTATACACAAAACCATAAATGATAAAGTATTCCTTCTAGTCAGATGGGAGTCAGTTCTGAGTTCTGAAAAACAACAATGAATACACACGCTACAGACAGTGGATTGTGATCACTGAACTGATCACTGTCACCATCACTAACCATCACCGACTAGCCAGCCATAGAAGTCTTCAGGGACAGATGATTCTCTGCAACACGCTGTCTCCCTGCATTCTATCTTCCTTTTTTTTTTTTTTTGTACCAGGGATTGAACTTGGGTCCTCGAGCTTGAGGGGCAGGCAGCAGAACCACTGAGCTAAATCCCCGGCCCAAAAGGATGTTTTGTGTTTTTGTTTTTTGGGTTTTTTGGTACCAGGGATCAAACTCAGGACCTTGCACTTGTGAGGCAGGCATCAGAACCACTGAACTAAATCCCCAGCCCGCCCTGCATTCTAAATACATGCAGGAAAAATATAGATACTGCAGTTCAATGAGGGGTGATAGATAAAATGCTCAATCTATGAGACATTTTTAGTAGGGTCATGGACTCTCCCCCCATAGAAACACAATCTTAGAGTTTGCAGAATCCCCTGAAGCCCACAGCATAAACCTTGTGTCATCAAGCACAGACTGATCCAAACAGACTTAAACTTATATCTTTCTTTTCTCCCTCTAAAATCAGAATTTTATTTTTGTTTTCTTTTTTAAAAAGCCTGACCATGTTCCCCAGACTCCCCTCAGCCTCAGGCCCCCATATAGGGGATCAAACTCAGGACCTTGCGCTTGTGAGGTGCAGCACCACTGAGAAAAATACCCGGCCCAGCCCAGACTATTTTCAAACTCCTAGTTTTCCGAGTGTGTGGCTCTCAGAAGTGGTTGGGTCTGAAAGTGCTGGCATTAAGGACAGTAGTCTACTTGAGCCCTCACCCTGCTGCCTACATCCTGCACAGATCTGAGGTTTGATTGCTTTCCCCATTTACCATCGTGAGCAAAGACATGGGGTGGGGAAGACTGTGGAATGGGGTGGGGGCACCTCACAAACCCACAGGCCATAAGCCTAGGGGGAGAAAACTGTGACTTGCTGGATTCGAAAACTACAGATCCTGGAAAGACACCCCCCCCCACCCGCCCTCCGCCCTTACCAGGGATCAAACTCAGGACCTTATGCTTGCCAGGCAGGCAAGGCATCACTGAGTTACAATCCTGGCCCCAGTTTTTCTTCTTTACTGTTTTGGGGGGCTATAGGATATTTTTTCTTTCTTTCTCTTCTTTTCTTTTCCCCTTTTCCCTTTTTTCTTTTTCTGCTTTGTTTTTCTCTGTTGCCTTTATCTAATTCTACTGTCCTTTTACTCCTTAACAGGATCCTTTATCTCACTTTTCTCTCCTCTTTCTCATCTTCCATTGCTTAATTTTTTCAATTTTTCTTCTTTCATTCTCCCATTCCCCATCCCCTCTATCTTTATTTCTATAACAAGTAAGCTTTAGATAGTTAATTCTATGTTATTACTTTGAGTTCTTTTCTATTCTTAGTGGAGGCATAGTTGTTGCCTTTAGTAGATATTTACTGTATGTCAATATTGTGTTTGTCTTAGTGCTTATAGTATAATTATAGGTCTCTTTTCAGTGGTTCAGGGAGGTATATTATTGGGTCTTATGGTATGTCAATATCGTTTGCCTTTGATGCTATTTTTGTTGCTGATTTTTTATTGCCAGTGTGACATAGTTGTTGATATTAATTGGTTTTCTCTGTATGCCATTATCTAGATTACTTTTGTGTCATTAACAATACGGATCCATTCCCACACAACTAGATGCTGGGCCAATTACACTGTATCCTCACTTCTCAAATTGACAGAGGTGGTTGGTTCTTGGGATAAAGGTAAAGGACTATAGTTAGGCAAGCCCCAAGTGATTCACTGAAAAGCAGACACTAACTAAAGAGGTCTTCATACTAGCAACAAAGTCTTGCCACTATAAGCACCTGCAAACCTTAGGACAAACCAAACCAAACCAGACAAACAAAACACTATGGAAACACGAGAAGACGAGGCGAAGAAATTGCCAAAACTCCCAACGCTCCCAAGATGACCCATAGTGTACTGAGGAAGAACACGAAACAAGTTTTCCATTTAGAATGTGCACTCTTAAAGGAATTATGACAAAGAGCACTTGGAAATACTATTATTATTTTTAAAGGTTTTTCATGTAGTACAGCAACAATAATCCACATAGTAAATAACTATGGGATTACATTTTTCAAGTTGAAAGCAGAGTTTCCTAATAATGACCTTACCATTTGTTCTTTAAAACAATTTTCAATCCCAGCTTGTACCATTAGGTCATTCACATTCTTCTGTAAGTCCTCAATACGATTTCCCATTTCTTCCAGTACTATGTTAAGGAGAATTGTACATGTGGAACTGGAGTGCAGAGTAGCCAGCCTGACATGCCCTCAGAGACCCTGCTTCAGACTGCACCTGCTCAACATAGGTATGCATGAATGTGCCATGAGAGAAGCAACTTTTAAAATGAATGAATCAAAGTCTAATGTCAATGCAAATTTGCTACATCCCTTGAGTTTTTCTTAGTGTGTACCTTTAATCTTTAAGCTGTGAGCTCAGTTTTGAAAACCTAGCTTACCTTACTTGGGTATGGACTTGGGATGTGAGTTTGGTATGTTTTAGTCAAACTCAACATAAATATAATGGAAATTAACTTTTTAGAATCAGCTTCCCTGTGGTTTAATTTTATCATGTTTGAGAATAATTTTTGTCCTGTGCAAACCTATCTTCAAAATCAAAAGTTAAAAATAAGTGGTTCCAGATATAAATATTTTGCATGATTTTTAAAGAAATACATTTAATTATAAAAGTGAGCTCAAATTGGGCAAGTCATAGGGTACACCTTATCCTTACATGAATTTGCTCAAACTGGAAGCTAAGTTTTAAGTTCTGAGACAAAACCATGAGCTGCTGAAGTCAAAATAATGGTAGGTAGAGAGAGCCTTGTGTAGTAGTACTCTATGTTGGAGACCTTCAGTACTATTCTCTGAGGTCGCTGATTGCTTATAGTCTGTGGTGCAGGCCAGGCCATAGAGGCACTTGAGGAAAAGCCCCAGAGACAAATGTTGTGCAGTTGTGCTCCTTGAACTTTGCACTTGCCACTCAAATATTCTGTATTGCTGGTCAAGCAGGACGTAAAGCCTTCTGCTAGAGGTAAATGGTAATTAATGCATCAGGATGTCACTTCAAAGTACAAATGTAAATACTGGGACATCCTAAGTAAATAATTATCCCCTAATGGCACAGGACAAAAAGATACCCCATGGTGATTTGATAATCCAAAATTATTAGATTATTTATTTATTTTTTGGTACCAGGGATCAAACTCAGGACCTTGTGCTTGCCAGGCAAGCGGTGGGACCACTGACCTAAATCCCCAGCCCTAGAGTATTTATTAATGATAGAAAAAGGATATTTCTGTGGTTTAATGTTTCAGTAAGAGCTTGAAAATGTTCTTGAAGTTCCTGAAGTAGATTTTCTGCCTGAAAAATTGACCCATAAGGCAACTGAATGTTTACTATTGTCATAGGATATTGCAGCTATTGTGCAGTAAACGATCGTACAAAGGTATGTTAATTTTTGACAGAGGTACCAAGTTCTGCAACCAGCTGGCCATACAAAACTAGATTGTAAGCAGGCCCTAAATTTCTTCAGACCACACAACGCTTTTAGAATGATCATACACCTCAGCTGTGACAGCTGGAACCAGAGATCCGGACGATAATATAAGAAAAAAACCTCAATCACCTGAATCCCTCAGGAATTCTTCAGAAGAACCAAAACATCATCCATGGGTTACTAAAAGTGGGTGTATCCCCCTCTTTATCATTTCAATGTTATTAGCTGGTCTTACTATTGGAGTTTCAACTTTTGCTCCTGGGTTGTACAGAAACGTTGCTATTTCTACCTTCCTTTACACTCGGGGTGTTTATTAGCTGGTATTGGTAGTGCAGTTGGCATTGTTTATCAAGTCACACGGACATATTGCTACGATAACTGCTAGCGTTTCGTGTTTGTGTGCAGTGTTATAGTTACACATTGAAATCTACCCATGTATGACCTGAGTCTCCCCTCTCCCCTTTGTGTCCATCTTGAGAAGGGAACATCAGTTCCCAGAATCCCAAGTGCTGCTCCTACGTACATATGCAATACACCGCCCTTAGCCCTAGGCGGCTCCCTTAATCAGGCGGTATCCAACTAGGTCCGGAAAACGTAGATTATGTACAGGTAGTAAACTCTTTTTAACGGAGTACATTTATCAGTCTGTGTTCTGGGACTGGAACTTCCTTTGGCAAATAAGAAAGCAAGAATTGTCCAAGGAGGATCTGAGAACTGCTCCAACTCACCCACGAGTGGGCGGGGCCTGCTGGGAGCCGGTTGGGGCAGGGAGCGGGTGGGGGCTGGGCTGGAGGGTCGTAAGGACAAAATCGAACTGGGAGGCGGGGCTTGGGGCTGAGCTGGGCTGGGCTTCACCCGGGGCTTAGCAGGGCGAGGAGGGGCCGTACTCCAGGGACGACTCTGGGTGCCTCCTAGCCCGCAGCCCACCCCGCAACTGCGGTCAGTCCTAGGATTTCCAGGCCTGGGCCTAAGACCGCAGGGCGGTGGGCGGAGAGGCTACTCACCTTGTCCCGCAATTCCTCCCCGGGGGGGGCTTCGGGTGCCTGGGTGTCCATGTGCTCCTGGGCCCGGTGTCGCGAGGTCGTGGGTCCCGCGGACAGGAAAGGCCCTGGGCCTTTGTGTGAATCTGACAGGACAGAGCCGGGACGAGGGGGGCGAGGGCCGGTGTGGACAGGACCTGGAGCCGCCGGTCCAGCTCGGCTGGGTTCTCACCGTCGCAGGTGGGTAGCGAGGAGGACTCCGTGGGTGGAAGGTGTCACTGTTTGCTCTTATTACGGCGGCACAGTGGCACCAAGCGAAACTGACCGTCTCTGCTGCTTTGCGCACAGGTCAGTGCGCCGCGCACACCCACAGGCGGGGCAGAGGGCGCCCGCGTCCAGAGCTCCCTCCTCTGACTGAACTGCCCTGGTATTGGCAGGCTCCCGCCCTACCCTCCCAGCCTCCCTGCCCGCCCACCTGCCCTTCTACCTCTGGGTGCAGTATTTTTCTAAAATATAATGTGTCAGGGCCGGGGATTTAGCTCAGTGGTTCTGCCGCCTGCCTTGCAAGTGCAAGGTCACGAGTTCGATCCCTGGAACCAAAAATAAATAAATAAAAATTTAAAAAAACATAATATAATGTGTCACCTCTTAATGAGGTTCCAGGAAGGCTCCACCCAACAGCCCCACACAGCCTAGATACGCAGGTGGCGTTGGATCTTCAACTCAATCACCTCTGGAATCCCTGACATTTCTGGGATGCCAGCTCCAGAATTAGGAAGGGTTATTTGTAACCGTTTCCCAGTGCGCTACCAACACGCACATTTCTAATTCTGGTTTCACCGTACATTAGGAAGCAAGCTCTCTTGCTACTCCTTTCAGACTGGAGTTGTGGCTGGTGGATCGCCTATAGGTCACCTCCCAGGACCACACTCTTAGGACCTGTTACATGTCTAAAGCTGGAGAGGAAACAGAACTGTGTTTATCCGGGTTACTCCAGTGTCCCCAGGCTCTTGTCCGATGACTACCACAGATGCCCAGGGTTCTTAATGTGTACTTAAATAAAACATGACCACACAAAGACGCCCAACATCATTACGCAACAGGAAACTTCGGTGAGCGCACACGTCACACCCACCGCGGAGACTGGAATAAGTGGGAGGGATGTGGGGTTTGCAGCCCCTCATATCCAGCTGATGGGAATGTGAAACAATGTGCCACCACTATGGAAAACAGTCTGATGGGTCCTTACAGGTAAAGAGACCACATGACCCAGCCACTGTGCTCCTGAATATATACCCAAGAAAAATACACAGAAATTCATACACCAGTTTTATAGCATTGTTACTAAAAATACTCTGAAAGTGAAACAAGTGAGATGTCCATCAACAGATGAATGTATAACAAATGTGGTGTATCTATACAATGGAATATTACTCAACCATAATAATGGAATCCTGATACATGCTAGAACATGGATGGACATTAAAAACATTATGCCAGTGAAACATTAAGTGAAAGAAGCCAGTCACAAAAGGCCACCTATTAAATGATGTCGTTTATATAAAATATCCAGACAGGCAAATCCATAGAAACAGAAAGTAGATTAGTGGTGACTGCAGTATATGGTGGAAGAATGGGGAGCGACTGCTTAATAGTTAGGAAGTTACTTCTAGCCTGCCTCCTAGCGACCAGCGAGCAGAAGGTGAGGACCTCTGTCCTGCCTACCCCCCACCCCCTTCGGCTCCCAGCGACCAGCTTAGCCCCTTGGGTGCCTGCAGCAACCCCCCCACACCTCCCACCCCCACCTCTGGCCTCCTGGCTGCACCGGTACCTGGTCCCACACTACAAAGGCACAGGGGATAATAAAGGCCATTGTCCTGAGCTCCAGGAGATAGAGCAGAAGTGAACAACAGAAAGAGGGCCACTCTAAGGCTCCTTGATGAAAATTGAAGCCCATTGAAAAAGCGAAGAGAGTCTCTGCCATAAAGGCACACCAGACCACCGTCCTGGGTAAGTTGGAGGGATCATCACCTCCCATCGGAACCTGGACTATCTTCAGGGGAAGGGCAGCTGGAACCTGCAATACAACCTGGCAGAGTTCAACCCTACAGGAGGACAGGGAGCTCAACTTGGGACTTGCAGCCAGAAATCTGCCTGAATCTCATGCATCTGCAACTCGCTTTGCTGAGACTCACTGACTTATATCTGCACACTGCTGCCCACGGTGTCTATTGTGTCTATTGTCTATTCATTTTCATTTTTATTTCCAAAATTATTATTATTGGGGGGTTTTTTGCTTATTTTTTCCTACACTTATCAAATTTTAATTTTTCTCTTTTTTTTTCTTTTCTCTTTCCTTTCTCTCTCTCTCACTCACACTCTTGCTGTCCCACATTGTTCTTCATCTCCCTTTTGTTCCTGTTCTGGCCCTAATTCAGATTTCTCCTTTATTTTTCTTTTATTCTCTTTTTCCTTCTCCTGCCTGTGTCCTCTGGCCTCACTGCTAACCTTTCCCTATCCTTCTACCTATCTATGCCTCCCTCCCCAACTCCTTCTGACTCCCCATCCTGAAGGGTAAAGTTGCTATATTGAAGAGTTTATTCACAATAAACATATGTTGGGTTGGTCCTCGATTTTGATTTAATTCACACAGTTAAAGGTGAGAGATTAATAACTTTCATAAATTGTCATTTTCTAAGATGTACTTGATGCTAGGGTGTTGCTGATTGTATCACTTGGGCTAAGATGTTGTGATTGATCTAGTCAGTGGTCCTTCCTGTTATAATGAAAACGAGATAGCCTCAGTCATTAGAGACTCAAAATGCTATATTTTGAAGACATCTTTGAGAAGCAATTATTCCATAACGGTTCTAATTACAAGCAACAAAGAGACTTACAATAAGCAATATTGAACTATCAACCCAGGAATTAAACCAAGGACAGTACCAAAAACAAAAGTGAGAAGACATTTAAGCAAGGCACAAACTCAGACTTCCACCCCACCAAGGGTAAATCCTGGGGGAAA